GTGTTTAAACGAGGCGTTTTAGGAGGGCGTGGACGAGTCTTAACTTTTATAAAGAATATCTCTTTGGGTTTGAGACTTTAGTCTTTGCAACTTTAGGGATCTTATCTATGCACGCTTGTAACACTCCAAAGAGAAAGGAAAACTTGAAATCGCATCATATGACCCCTTTAAAATTAGCATTATATATAAAAAAAAAACCACACACATCCTTTCTGTCTAGAAAAGTGAATTTTAGTTTAATAAAATTTACTGCAGACAAATAAAAATACACATTCATTGAAAATTACTTAAGAAATGGGCACCAGCTACATTTTACCATATTTTGGAATATAAGCCACTTTTTTAATTATCTGAAACACACTGCAACTTATATTCCAAAGCTAAAGATATAAGAATCTATTATGAATATAAAATATTCGTTTAGACTTTGTGTTTATAATAAATGTTGTTAATAATGAATGCCACTATAATTTGTTTGTTTTTTATTCTTATAAGTTTAATTCCTGTTCTGTTTCGAATATGGTTACATTTAAAGGATTTGTTATGAAGTGTGCATAACTATAATACATGTTTATAGTGTATAATATTTATAAAAGTTTTGCTTTATTTGCAGTAGTTTTCTCTTCATTATTTCTGAATGTTAAAATAAAATGTGGCATGCACAGATGCAACGTGTGTGTGTGTGTGTGTGTGTGTTGTTTTTTGTTTTTAACAATGCAATTTTGACACAGTACGACTTAATTTCATGTGCAACTTATTTTCCAGAAAATACTGTAATTGCACATGCAACTGTGCATGTGTTTTCTTTATTAAAAATGTATGCATTAAAATATAACAGCTTGCTCCTGCTAGCTTCTTATAAATCTACCATTTCGGCTGACATCATCAGTGTTATTTTAGTATTATTTATATGCTATTTTATAGTATTTATTACTATTTTAGATTAGCTTTCTTTTATGCTTTTCTTTTTCTTGTTAGTTTTATTTATTTTAAGTGTTTTTTTTTTGTGTGTGTGTGTGTATTTCTATTTGGCTTTTAATTTTTTATCTCGGTTTTAGTCATTTTGATACTTTTTATACTTTTTTGTCATTTTATACAAATTTAAATCTTACTTCATTTGAGTTAGTTGCCAAGACAACATTTGTAATTTTTTAGTTTTTCTTCTAATATTCATATATTATTGCATTTCAGCTTTATTTGATAACCCAAAATGTATTTTTATTGCTTGCTTTCATTTTTCTCATTAATTAAGTAAAATGAATTGCTGTTTCACTCTGAGTATATCACAGTACAGAAGTTAAAAGGCTTGTGGATGCTGTTAAATGTGAATATGCTACAGGACAGACCGGTCCTGACGTGCTGGCATTCCTTCTAAATTTTTTTCTTTATACCCTCTGTAAGATTCAGTTTGCATTTAAACCTGCATTTATCTTGACAGTCATGTCTCTTTGAAGGAGTTTCAGCTTTAAACCTTGTGCTTTTTCTGCTGCAGGTGAACAGTGATAAGATCTACTGGCAGAGGAACCTGGACAGCACCTTCAGTCAGATCCACAGTGAGAAGAAAGCTGTCGGTCACTGCATCAGCACTAAGGCGGTGGGCTCCGACGAGCGGGTCGACATCACACACCTTTACAAATATCCTGAAGGTGAGAAACACACACTCTTTCACACATTTTAAACATCAATCTCAGTGTTCCGTTTTGCCTGTACCCATCAGAAACACATGAAATACAGACTAGCAGCTGTCAAAAGAAGAGGCCCTGAGCAAATATTACTTAATATATTAGGGCCAATATGTACATAATGATGAAATAATGTGATGTTAAATTATGAGAACACTCGTATGAGAAATATATTTTAATATGAGTGAATCTCACAAAAACTGTGAAGAAATGTCATATTACTACCTCAAATCAAAAGAAAAAAAGAAAATAATTTTGCATAAACATTATTTTTTTTACATTGTGATTTTCTTTAATAAAAAAGCTTTATTATACAAGATGTTATTTAAATAATTTTTTAATGTATTATTTATTATAACATAATTTTTAATTGAATATACATGAAAATGTATACATAAAAAAAGAAAATGATTTATTAGCAAATAGAAAAAAACTTTTTTAATATTTGATTTTATATAAAAAAAAATAGATTTTTTTATTTATTTGACCTTTAGGGAACAATATAACCTTTCTTTGTGAGATTTATCCATACAATCAGGAGTTAAATTCATGTTCTTTGTCAATGCTGTCTTACCAGAGCATATAACACCGAGCAGAAGTGATGGCTAGGACAGAAAACACAATACCCGTTTGAATCAGCGATAAACGACTTAACTTTCCTCTGCCATAATCACTCAGCCTTTTCACCAAAATACCTGTCATTATCTCCAAACGGGTAGTTTAAACTTAACCGAGTTCCACCCACAGGAAACAATATCAGCATTGTCTCAGTTACTCAGCTACACAAAATATAAACAAACGAGACAATAGACTTAAAGGGACAGTTCACCCAAAAATGAAAATTCTCTCATCGTTTACTCACCCTCAACTTGTTCCAAACTTGTATGAGTTTCTTTATTCTACTCAACAGAAAAGTGTACATTTTGAAAAATGTGGGATATATGTACATTCCTTTTTTTAATCCGTCACATTAGACTCAGAGGAGGAGCGTATCGCCGTGGAAACCGCCTGTCGCTATGGCAGTAAACCCGACGTCTACTCCAGTCCCATTGCTGAGGACGTGCGGGTGGAGGTGATGATGGAGGGGGAAGGTCCACGCATGGGAGGAGACGCTCAGCTGAAGATCGTGGTGAAGAACACCAGCTCTCAGCCGCGCAGAACCACCCTCCACAGCCAGGTGGCGGTCATGTACTACACCGGCGTGCTGAAGGACACCGTGAAGAAGGACACGCTTAATGTGGAGCTCAAGCCACAGGAAGGTGAGTTTGGGTTTGTTCGGAATGGCATACTAGCATACTATTCATACTACAGTTAACTATGCAAACTGTGGGCAGTATATGATGAAAGCTTTTTCTGCCATGAAATAAAAATATAAAAAAGGTAATTGCAACCTTTTATCTCACAATTCTGACTTTTACACACACAAGGTCCACGCATGGGAGGAGATGCTCAGCTGAAGATCGTGGTGAAGAACACCAGCTCTCAGCCGCGCAGAACCACCCTCCACAGCCAGGTGGCGGTCATGTACTACACCGGCGTGCTGAAGGACACCGTGAAGAAGGACACGCTTAATGTGGAGCTCAAGCCACAGGAAGGTGAGTTTGGGTTTGTTCGGAATGGCATACTAGCATACTATTCATACTACAGTTAACTATGCAAACTGTGGGCAGTATATGATGAAAGCTTTTTCTGCCATGAAATAAAAATATAAAAAAGGTAATTGCAACCTTTTATCTCACAATTCTGACTTTTACACACACATATATATATATATATATATATATATACACACACACACACACAATTGCAAGTTACAAACTAATTGTGAGTTTATCTCGCACTTTTGAGTTTTTCTCTCAGAATTCTGAGTTTACATCTCACAATTTCACACAATTAAGTGTTTATATCTCACGATTGCAGGTTATAAACTTTAATTCTGAGTTTATGTCTCACAATTCTGACTTTTTTCCATAGTATACACAGTTTCCGCTTTCATTTCTAATGTGATAAACCACATCAAACATATTTTCTCATTGTATGAATAAAGACTGCCAAGGCTTTTCCATATAAAATGTACGCTAATCACATTCATTTAATTAATTTTTATTTGTAGTCATTTTTGTACTTAAACAACACATTCATTTCTGAAATAACTTGATGCAATTTGCTGAATTAAGCTGGCAACATAATGAGGTCATGTGAAAGTTTATCACACCTTTATTGTTGCATATTGTATACTTGTAGTGTTTAAATTTTCATGAAAACAATAATCCACTCACATTCGTATTACTATTGTAAATGCATACATATTTTTTTTACTGTAAATTTAGCTATTTTAAATTAAATAAATAAAAGAATTAATAAAACATTAATAAACAAAATAATTTTATTTTATATGTATTTATATCAAATTGTAAAAACATAACCATTGCTGTAATTGTCTATTTTACATCCTTTAGAAAAGAACTCAAATTTGTATTACTGCTGTAAATAAATGTATACATATTTAAATTGCTAGTAAATTTGCCATAAAATATTTCTTACAACCATTTTAAATTCAATAAATAAATAAATAAATCATATATATATATATATATATATATATATATATAAAATAAAAAAATTAAAATACATAACATTTTATTAATTATTTTATTTATTTAATCCATATAGCATTTAAAAATAGGCAGAGTACAGTATATACTGAGGGATGTCACGTCTAAAGCTCATAACCTTTGCTGATAATCTCTTCATGTCTATTTTACGTCCTTTAGAGAAGATCATTGACTGGGTGCTGCCATACACGCAGTATCAGAATCAGCTGGTGGACCAGGCTGCGCTCATGCTGACCCTGTCAGGACGGGTCAGTGAGACCCAGCAGGTTTTGGCCAATCAGACCAGCTTTAGGCTCCGAACACCTGATCTCCACATTGAGGTGAGACATCCAGAGCCGTCAGCTGCTTTTACCACTATACAGTTGTGTTTACTCCCAAATTTGACCACAATAATACTTTGCAGATACTTTTATTGCATCTTAAAATTGGAAAGGGTTTGTAAATGTGCTTTGTTTCTTGTTGTAGCCTATAGGAGAGGCGTGTGTGGGCAAGGAGACGTCCGCGAAGATCACCTTCACAAATCCTCTGCCTTGTACTCTCCGTAATGTGGTTATCCGAGTGGAAGGACTGGGGCTGAGAGACCTCCATCCCATCAGAGTCGGGTAAGAGCCTCACAATTCATCAAGATTAGTCATCCTGACTATTTAGAACGGAATGTGTGCAGGATTCCTCAGAATTCTACCATTTGAAAACAATCCTACAGGATCTTAGTGGGAATTTTCTTAGGGAATCAAAACAAAACACAACACAAAAACTAGATCCCATAGAGCACAAAGTTCCCAACAGGACTATTATGACTATAGACTGGATAAAATGCCCCTGTAGGATATTTAAAGAAAATTGTTTGAAATTTTTTAAAACTGCTCTCTGTGATTTCCCTATTCCAGTATAATACAAGTAGAGTTTTGTTGAACGTTGCACAATATCCAAAAATAATAAAATCTTGCAGGAATTTCCATTAGGATCTTGGTTGATTTCCACTAGAAATAGTTAGAAATAGTTCCGAATTATGGTTAAACTTTACACAGGATCCAGTGTTATTAATTAAAACTACAACTAAAAAGATTAAAAACGATTTTCATTAATTGGAATAAAGCTGAATTAAAATAAAATTGAAAAAATCGATAAACTGAAATAAAATAAAATAAAAGAGTTTAAGTTGAAGTACTAAAATTACTAAAACCTAAACTAATATAAATATGAAGCTAAATAAAAAAATATTTAAATAATATACTAATGAAAACAAAAACTAAAAAAATCTAAAAATAAAATTACTGAAATATAAACAAAAATGAAAATTAATATATAAAAATACCTAATTCTAAGTATTAATAAATACTATAAAACTATAATATAATAAATATAAAAACTATAATACAAATACATATTATAATATAAAGTACTAAATAACACTGACCTGTACACAATTCAGTTCATTGTTCTTGCTCTACTAAAATGGTTAAAACTGACATAAATTAAAATTAGATATTTAAAAAATATCTAATAAAAATGACAAAAAACACATAACACATAAGAAAATGACTAAACTTAAAATGAGAACTGATCATATAAAAATTAAAGCTAATTCTAAATATTAATAAACTCTTCCATGTCTTCTCTTTCTCTTGTCTCTCAGTGATGTGAGCAAACATGCCAATGTGACGGTGACGGAGCACTTCATCCCCACGATAGCGGGCAAGAGGAAGCTGGTGGCATCTCTGGACTGCAAACAGCTGTCGCAGGTGCACGGCGTGGCCGACATCGACGTTCACGAGAGCCAGTGAATTCAGTCTGCTGTTCAGACTTCACAGTATTATATCTGCATTATAACTGCACAAAGCATTTTTAAGTAGTTTACGCTGAGCCATATGGTTATTTCTTTAAAGAAATAACCCTTTTTTCACATAAGAGCGCTCCTACTGTATGTCCCTAATTTGAAGTTAGTTTTTATTTCATTTTAGACATTTATTTAAAAAACTGTATTTGCTTTACTGTGTGTATTAACTGTTGTTTAGTTTAGTTGATCAAATGTTTCTATTTGCCACTGAAAAAAGTAAGCTCTTATATATTAGCACATGGTTATTAACATTTTATTTAATGACTGTTCATCTAAAATATCATAATTGTTGTTTAAACGATATGCGATGTGAAAATTAATCAAGTATATTGCAAAAAACAAACAAAAACACACCCAGAAAGTACACGCATACACTATGAGATGCAGTTTAGACTAATGCGCGAGCATATTTAGAATTCACACTATCACTGCATGATTTAGTCTATTAAAATACATTTAGAATTCCCCCAAAATTCAAGACAAGGGGGCAAATATGTCCCTGTATGACTTTTATATGTCTTTTATATTTATATCAGCTGATACAGTTAATATCACACAAAGAGTAGTTTTTTTCTCCAAATATCAGTTCGATCGCAGATGTGATACTGATTTTATAAAACAGTCCAATAAACAAGAAGTTAATATTAATTGACTTGCTGTTTCAAACGAAGCCACAGCAGAACCTTTTTGTGTCTCCGAGCAACACAACGGTGTTTGAACGAATCAGTTGAATGAATGACTCAATGACTCACTCATGCAGTGATTTTAGGTTTATATTTAAAGTACATTTTCCCTTTCCCCCCCAGAATCATTTCAAATATCACAAATGAACGTTTTGTTTTTAAAACATCAAAACATTAATTATGCATTTGTAACTGCAGGTTAAATGCATTAAACAGCCTGTGTGAATGCATCTAAATGCCACTCCAGATGAAGCTTCTGTGCCACCTCTGCATTGCAACCACAAATTTTGTTGATACTGATTTCATTTGATTGGTAGCAGCACTATAGTGTCTTACTATTTGAATTGATTGATTAAATGTACGAATTTGACACAAAATATGATGCATACATATAGGTTAGAAAAATAAAAAGTGGCCTTGTAAAGGTCAAAATGCACATAAAAAGTAAAAATCAATGTAAAATTATTGGAAAAGTACATTTCTGTTACTCCTGCAAACTAATCACCGCACAGAATATGAAGAACATCAAAAGCTTTTGGAGTCAGCTGTCCACGGCAGTCCTAAACCTGCCAAAATACCAGCAAAATAACACGCTCAGCAAAATAGCGTCTAATTGTCATTATCGTTATCATTTTTTGTCATTATCGCACACCCCTAATATGAAGACATTTACACTTCATGGCATATTAGGTTTTTATGAAGGAGATAAAAGTAGTTTATGTATGTTTGTATTATTTACGTTATGTTTTTTTTTCTTTAAAAAACAGCATTTTATTAACACCATATTCTGTTTTCTGTGGTAGTTTTTTGAAGATGTTTCTTTCGCCTGCTTGACAAGACTTGTGTGTTTGATTTGGAAAGATGAAGTAAAACACTCCCTTGTGTTTGAATTGGAACAAATGTCATCTGTGATGAGATTAACCTGTTGTTGAAGAGGTTTACTGAACAATCCGCTCGCACCAAACACCTGTGCCTAAATTAAGAGTGTTGCATTTCAAATTGTTTACCACACGTTAATTCACTCATGGATATCATAGTGTTTATATAAATAAGTAGAGTATATAAATAAATAATTTATATATCTAAATTCTTATCCTTTTCTGCATTGCACCCCTGCTTCAACTTGTTTCCTAGTCTGGCTTAAATAAATATATAAATATGTTTGTAATGCCATAGCAGCATACTATTTATACTATTTTTGCAGTATGGAATCTATGGTCTGTGTATTTTCTGTATTTACCTGTCCTGAATGACCTACTACATCTGTCAAGATGTACAAGAATAACGGAGTACTGTATATGTGGTATCTCGCAATTAAATGCATTCCATTTCTAGAATGACGAACAAGTCAGAAATATCAGGTATGATTTTTTAAATCATGAACCATTTTATATTGATTAGACTGCCATGCTGGCACACAATTGTTTTGTGATACAAAGTTGCATTCTTACCTCAAAAATCAAAATGGTGCGTCTAGCGCCTGGTACCGTCACTTATTTGTAATCACAAGAGAAAAGCTCCCAGAAACAAAATAGAGTGCTGCAGAGATGATGTATTTTATTGGGCCAAAATCCAGAAATTATTTTTCAGCACTAGGGTCTGTTAAAGCGGTCATGAAGTGCTTTTTTTTTTTTTTTTTTACTATTTTTATAATCATTTTATTGTGCTTTTGCATCCTTTTTTAATCTTGAAAGTTCAATCCCTGCATAGAGCTGCATAAAAAAAAGTAACCAGTGCATACTTTACATTTACATTTTACATACATATTACTTTTAAAAGTAGATCACATTAGACAAACATTAAAGTAGCTAGACTTCTCTATACTAGGCACTAAATAGGATACTAAATCCCAGGCATAATGTATTGCAAGGAAATGACTAAAGTTTTAATCATTCTATACTTTAATGATGAAGGGATGAAATGACAAACTATCACAAAAAACCTGCCTGAAGACAGGAAAACAGAGCCGTCCTGCTGAGCCGTGTCTTTCTCTGAGCGCTTCTCTCGTGCTCGGATTCAAATAAATAAATGATTGGTCCACAGACAGTGGCCCTAACGGCAGCGGTGCCACTCGGTAATGACCTTCCCTGGGGAGTTCTGCACTATTTTTATGCGCAATCAAAGTGGCCAGACTGAATGATGATCATTAAAGAGCAGGAAGCCTGGTCTTCAGAGGTGTCATTCACTAAAATATAATGTCCTCATATGAGGATGCAGGGTCTCAGGAGGATAAAGTAGAAAACTTACTTTTTATTAAAGTAATAGTTAACAGCCAAAATTAAATTTCTGTCACCATTTCCTCACCCTCATGTTGTCCCAAACCTAGCTATTACTTATTTCCATGAAACATACACACACACACACACAAGATGTTATAGGGGTTATGAACTGCATTTTTAAAACTATTTTATAATGTTCTCTGAGGTTCACTTATAATGCTAGTGTGATTTTACATTTAAAAAACATCATAATTTAGAAGTAATAGGCTATTTTCTATCCTGTTTTTGAGCCCTCTGGAGAACTGTCTGTTTTTATAGGAGGGGTGCATTCAAGACTCGCAAGTAAACGCCCACTGCTGTGATTGGCTGACAGTTGCAGAGGCGGGCTTTCGCTGCACTATTACGTCATAAAGTGGCACATTCCAAAACGAGTTGTTTTCTGAGCTTGGTTACAGGAAAAGCTGTTATAAACTTACAGGATGACCTCTTATATGTCAAAAGAGCAAGGGAAATTTGATTTCTCAGTTCATGACCCCTTTAAGACAAGCTTAAGATATTTTCACCTTTATTCTACAACATAATATACATCAGTGATTCTCTATTCCTTATTTTTTTTAAGCTTTTATGAATCTTGAAAAAAGGTGGTTCCAAGTGGCTAATTGGGACTGCAGAGGTTGTTGTTCCTTTATAGCTTAACTTTAGCTAATTACTTTTGGCGATTGTATTTAGGCTTCAGGGATTCATAAAAGTTGTGTTCATTTTTAAAGATTATCATGATAAACAAAACGTGTAAGAATCACAGACTTGGAGCAGGGTGATGCCACACTGATGCGCAAATAATTATATACATAAAATGCTTAAATAAATATACAGTACACATAAAAAATAATCACTACAGCAGTATAAAAAGACTATAAAGACAAACAAATGCAGGCACCTCTTATTAAACGTACACCAATGTAATGAGATCTGGACATTATAAAAACAGACGATCGTTTATAATGCTGAATGAATTATTAAACATCTCTTCTTTTAGTCGATATGACTGTCCAAACACTGTCAATGCATTCATGACACAGCATGACTTTCTCAGTGCATGATTGAAAAGAAATCTGAATCCACCTTACAGCCAACCTTATTTTTTCCAAAAAAGCGGTGCGCGGCCATTTGTGAATCTTAGGAGTCTGGCTTCCGGTCTCATCTGCGTCCAGCTATTTTCAGCTGTGCAATACAGCTCGTTTTGCTGCTTGATATTGCAAATTGGTGTGTCTTACCATATTATTTTAATGTATTATCTTAATTATGAACACACTGGCTTGTAGTGCAAACAGTTTTACCGTTTATTGCACGTTGTTATTCTTCTGGTTATTTCGCTACAGTGGCTAATGAACCGGAAGTCTCGCCCATATGCTTACTTCCACATTGAAGAATAAGATGGATAGGTTAGAAAATACAAATACAACCAGTTTCCATTGAATCCTGCAGTATAATTACTGAGCTGTTCCACATTAAAGGCCACAAACAGTACAATCTGAATATGAAGCGACAAGGTCTGAGAACAGCTTAGCTTTTAAATGTTCAAAAATACAGATACCTGCAACTACAAACCAATGTGCATCATATTTAGTCTACTGTATTACAAATACTCTCAACTACTCGGTTGAACTCTTCTGGCTGATCGGCGTATACGTGATGGGAAGCATCTTCGATCAGCTGTAGAGAGAAACTGTCATTTTTAATATTTCCAACCAATGAATTTAGAAAGTGCCCTGCATTGCAAACGCAATCATTTCTCACTGTGACACTGGTGGGGCTTTTGCCTCTGATCTGAACGACTGTCTTTCCAGTGGATGGGTCCACCCAGGACAGTGCGCCGTACAGCAAGCTGACGGGCATCGACGGTGGCAGCAGATGAACACGCTGAACCATCGGCCTCTTGGCCCAGCCGATCGACTCAGACATGGCTTTGAAACCCACCTCACCGCTGGGAGGAAAAGACAATTCAATATACAGTTTCTTCTGCATCTTCAGGAGAATGCATCTGTAGAAAGACTGTACCTTGGTTTCTGAGCGTTACAGTGGTAAATGTATCGCATCATGGTGTCGTCATCAAACAGATCCTCAAACTTCCTCTTGAAGTCGGGACGGAATCGGCTGACCAGCCCTGGACCTGCATGAACACATGTGACGTGATGATGTCTTGAATAACAGATTCTGAAGTATCATCAACTTCAATCAAAGCAAATTGCTCATCTGCTCATGTCCCAAAACCTAGTAAGCTGCCTACACAGACAGTATTTTAAGACATTAAAATTAAGAGAAAAGTAGCATTAGATACCCAGTTTAAGGCATAATCACATGTATGATTCATGAAGAAGTCAAACCCATAATGAACTGTGACGAGCACAGTAAAAAAATTCAAGATGGCAGAAGCAAGAAAAATGTTGATAAATATACTCAATTTTAATTACAAATCAGACTATTTTACTATTTTTAAGTTTTTGTCATGAGCTGAACTCAAAGATCTAAGACTTTTTCTATGTACACAAAAGGCCTACTTCTCTCAAATCTGTCTAAATCTGTGTTAGTGAGCACTTCTCCTTTGCCGAGATAATCCATCCACCTCACAGGTGTGGCATATCAAGATGCTGATTAGACAGCATGATTATTGCACAGGTGTGCCTTAGGCTGGCCACAATAATGGCATTGTGCTGTGTGATAAAACTGCACGTTTTAGAGTGGCCTTTTATTGTGGCCAGCCTAAGGCACACCTGTGCAATAATCATGCTGTCTAATCAGCATCTTGATATGCCACACCTGTGAGGTGGATTATCTCGGCAAATGAAAAGTGCTCAGGAACACACATTTAGACAGATTTGTGAACAATATTTGAGAGAAATAGGCCTTTTGTGTACATAGAAAAAGTCTTAGATCTTTGAGTTCAGCTCATGACAAATGGGGGCAAAAACAAAAGTGTTGCGTTTATAATTTTGTTCAGTGTATGATTATTATAGAGAAGTGGTTCTCAATATATATTTACATTTTTAATCTAACTAAAATGCAGCAGCTAGAGTTCTTACTAGAACCAGGAAGTACAACCATATTAGTCCGGTTCTGTCAGCACTGCACTGGCTCCCTATTGAACATCGAATACATTTTCAAATCTTGATAATTACTTATAAAGCTCTGAATGGTTTAGATCATCAAGCTCAAAATATTATATCAGGTAGAAAATGCTGCTATTTAATCACAAACTAGAAAATGCATTCTTAAATTCACTGTAATAAAAAAAAATGTAAACCATATTATTTCAATTAATTTGAATTGTTTTATAATGAATAATTATGAAACTATATACATATTTCTAAGACTTAAATGTTTTTATTTCTGAGTAAAAAATAATTAACACTAATCACAAACATAAAATAAAAAGTGTAAATCATAAAGAACACTCCATTATTAGAATTACGGAATTTATTATTTATAATTATTTTACTACGCTGACACTCCAATAAAACAATAAAAAAAAATTTAATCAGCAGCCTCGTCTTTATAGCATAAGTATCAGAAATCTTGTGACCCTGGACCACAAAACCAGTCATAAGGGTCAATTTTTCAAAATTGAGATGTATACATCACATGAAAACTGAATAAATAAGCTTTCCATTGATGTATGGTAGGACAATATTTGGCCGAGATACAACTATTTGAAAATCTGGAATCTGAGGGTGCAAAAAAATCGAAATATTGAGAAAATCACCTTTAAAGTTGTCAAAATGAAGATTTTAGCAATGCATATTACTAATCAAAAATTAGGTTTTGATATATTTACAGTAGGAAATTGACAAAATATCTTCATGGAACATGATATTTACTTAATATCCTAATGATTTTTGGCATAAAAGAAAAACCAATAATTTTGACCCATACAATGTTTTTTTGGCTATTGCTACAAATATACCCCAGCGACTTAAGACTGGTTTTGTGGTCCAGGGTCACATTGTTTTTGACAATGTAGCTTATTTTTATTACTGTCAAAGTCAGTAGTGAGTTGCATGTCCTGTGCGCTTCATGTGAGGAGTGCAGCTTATGAATATTGTTCCAGATCAGTAAAATATGAGGTTACATTTCAGTTAGTATGCTAGGTTTTGGAACAAAGTCGCTGTCATCATGGTGCTGATACTCACCCCAGGGTCCGGCTGCTCTGAAGACGGCCAGCGGGTTGAAGAGGCTGAACACTGACGCCAGAGCTTTCACCCAGCGAGGCGGTGAGACCCTTTTAACCTCTGACCCTTGACCTCCCGACCCCTCTAACTGAGGCTGAGGTTGCTCAGGGAAACCCCACGCGTCCACCAGGATGAGGTGACTGACTCTAGTGGACAAAAACACAACTGCTGTCAAGATCGTGTCGTTCATTATATTAACAATTATAACATGGTCCACAAAGACTTTTTGTCTTCATTTTGAACAATATATTTATTGTTTCATATTATCCCTTATATTTATACATTTTCAATTGTGGCCTAAGTGTCCAAATACTTTTCGAACCAAATATATATACATTTTTATTTTTTTAGAATATATATATTATATTTACACACACACACACACACACACATATATTTATATATATAAAATAATTTATATATAAATTATATTCATCATAAAAAAGTAACTGTGTGTGCGTGTGTGTGTATATATATATATATATATATATACACACACACACACATTTTTTATTGTATTTATATTTTTTTATTTTTTTATTTACTTTAATGACATAAAATTAAACATAAATATTTTAAAGAAATTTTTAAAAGATCAGTAAACATTCTGCATAATATCATTTGTGTTCCATGAAATGATTTTAAAATAAAGTAAGTGTGAGTAGATGACAGTTATTGTTAGAAACTATTGCTATTATTGCACTATAATTTACTGCATAGGCTTTTTTAGATACCTTTCTGGATATTGGATTGTGTAGGATGTTGCTAGGTAACCACCCAAGCTGTGTCCCAATAGGATCATGCGCTCCAGCCCCAGTGATTGTCTCCACTGCTCTATGGAAGTAACAAACTGCTCCTCAGCCAATAAGGCGTCAGACGGGAACGACGGGCGAGAGCTGCGACCGAAGCCCAGCAGGTCAACGGCATAGACGGGTCGAGAATGACTCAAAGCGTCCAGGTTACGGATCCAGAGACCGACACCTCCTCCAAACCCGTGGATCATCACTAGGGGCGTCTGAGCACCTATAGAGAGAGAGGGAGGCATGTTTAAGTGTGCAAAACTCTTACAAATACAACTGTACAAGACTGGAAACTCTACCTTCGTCTTTATGTTTGTGTGCTGATTTATTGGTGATTTTAAGGGTCCATATTCTGTTTTGATTTGGCAAAGTCACAAATCTGGACCAAATGTCATTTTGGATACCTGAACAACAGGCAGAATGGGCATATTGGGAAAAATTAAGATAAAATAAAATATTATTATAGGATAAAATATAATAATAGGATAAAAAAATATATATTTTAATAAAATATAATCTCAGTTATATTCTAAATAAAATATTATAATAGGATAAAATTTCTAAATATTAAAAGGGGACAGTGAGGATCTTACAGGCAAGAATTTTAGCTTCGGCAATTTTCAATAACGACATGGATGTTGGTCTCCAAGAGGGCCACCAAGACCAGTTCCCAGAGGTCTGCCTGAAGAAAGAGATCATTATAAAGTCAGTGAATGGATGAGAGCGGCACTATGAGACTGTCCATGTCATCCGTCTGTGAACATACAGAGCTACTTCATCTGCCTTTATACACAGAACAAGCCTGTCACCTGCTGCCAATAAAACCAGTATTAATAATGCTTTGAGGGCATAATTCATACACAAGCACACAAAAGAAAAAAATTTTTTTAAATAAAGATTTAAGTAATGTTAGGAGCATCACTTTATTATAAAAAAAATAATAATAAAATAAAATGTTAATGTCTATACTGTACACGATGTGAATCAAAGTTGACATTAGCACTAAACTTTAAATTTCAGTCTTAAAATTAAAAACGAATACTCCAGTAATCAATAATAAGACAGAAATGTTACGTTTGGAGAATCACTTTATTATAAAATATTTTTTTTATTTATGCTCTGGACTGTACATCATATAAATAAGAGGTGCCATTGACATTTCAATTAAAACTTTAATCTATATTGGTTATATTCCTATAACCAATAATTAGACAGAAAGGTTAAGACGTAAATTATGTTAGGAGAATCACTTTATTATAATTTTCTATTTATGGACTGTACTGTATACCATATGAAAAGAAGTTGCCATTAGCATTTACATTTAAATTTAGTCTTAAATTTAAAATTATCACTCCTATAAGGAATAATAACACATAAAGGTTAATCTGTAAATGATTGTTATTTAGTTCAAAAAACGAGCCATAACTATAGTGATGTAACAGCTCAGCATGACTTTGCATAACGTTATGTCATCACAGAGCATGTATGGATTATTCTATTACTTCATATCAATCATTCACTGCAGGGATTTTGAAATATTCGCATGTTAAACACACACTGTGTTTCATAATAAAAGGAAACCTAATGTTACATGAGCGACTCACATCTCATGTTTGTAACGTTATTATGATTGTATATTCAGATTCGGTACTCACTCTGTGTCAGTCTCGTCTTGCATTGCAGGAGACATTAGTATGAAACATAATACAATAAAAATCCACAACGACAGACTGGCATACTTTAGATTCGTGTATTCGCTACCGGATCTGTCACACAGACAGTCACTTTAAAGGCCCGTGTTTGTGTTTTGTAACACTGAAGTCAGCGTCTTTAAAGGAGCCGCGCCACAAAAATAAAAGAAATGCGTGAAATGTCATGAAACAACTCTTATCTTAATTTGTGAGCATATTTATATTGAAATGTTGATGTTTCAAACAGTCAGTGTACTAATAAGGTGATAATCTGGAATACTTTTGCTCTGATTTTATTGGGTAATTATGTTGTTGTTGTTGTTTTTTTTTACAATACTTCTTTTGTTTCACAATTGTCGGTTGTTCTGAGTGGATTTTACACTGGGAGAAAATTGGGATGTGTGGTTAGGATTAGAGTATTTCATTTCTTTGCATTAAACCAACACGAACGCTGCACGAGCACCGGAACTAAGATTCACCTGCAGTTCCAGTGGGGAACATTTAGAGGACGCACATCTGTCTCTCTCTTACACGTCATTCATTTCCTCGCTGCGTGATTTCCAAGGTTTCTGTGCACATTTCCTGCAGAAATCATGTCTAATTCGGTATTTTCAGTTATATCGCGTTTTGTGGAGGAGTACAGGAGCAGCACACCGAATAAGCTGAAGATGATCGACGCGTATCTGCTGTATATTTTGCTGACCGGAGTGTTCCAGTTCCTGTACTGTGTGCTGGTGGGAACGTTTCCCTTCAACAGCTTCTTATCTGGATTCATTTCGTGTGTGGGATCCTTCATTCTGGCTGGTATTTACTTACTTAATCATATATAACAAGAATCAAAACATTTTATGTATGTATTTTATGTTGTGTATGTATGTATGTATGTTTGGAATGTATGTATGTTGCGTGTCTATAATATCATATTTAAATATGTTTTTAGAATATAATATCACTGTATCTAATATTTCAGTGTGTGTGTGTAATATTAATATATATGTATGTATGTATGTGTGTGTGTGTGTGTTTATGTATGTGTGTGTGAGAGTCATAAGGGTCAATTTTTCAATTGTGCATCATCTGAAAGCTGAATAAATAAGCTGTCCATTGATGTATGCTTTGTTGGGATAGGACAATATTTGGAAATCTGGAATCTGAGGGAGCAAAAAATCAAAATATTGAGAAAATCGCCTTTAAAGTTGTCCAAATGAAGTTCTTAGCAATGCATATTACTAATCAAAAATTAAGTTTTAATATATTTACAGTAGTAAATTTACAAAATATCTTCATGGAACATTATCTTTACTTAATGTCTTTAATGTTTTTGGCATGAAAGAAAAATCAATAATTTTGACCCATACAATGTATTTTTAGTATGACATTATAATACCATTCATATTTATAATTTAAAGAAGCAACCAATCCGATGTCTTAGTTGACATTCGAGGCTTAATACTATAGTAAAGCACTAACGTTTTTTTCAGTTAGAGAGTTTTCAGCTTGTTTATTTTCATATAAAAAATACGGCATGCAGTTGCATCAAACAATGGTATAAATATAATTCAATGTAAATTGTGATAATCGTAATTAATAATCGCAATTACAATTTCAAGGCAATAATCGACAATTTATGATTTTTGTCATAATCTTGCAGCCCTAATATGTACACACTAGGGTTGTAACGATATACCGGTATGACGGTTTATCACGGTTTGAACGTGCACGGTTATCATACTGTAAACATTTGCATATCTACGGTTTTAAAAAAATGAATGGAAAAAAAAAACTCACCCGCACATATGCAACTTATTTCCTCTCGGATGCTTCACTCTGCATTCACTTGGCTGCTTGCACGCACGCCGTTTTATCTACTGCATACTGACGTACGCATGACACTAATGGTGTTTTCAGCGTCTAAGATACATAAACATGAACACCAGCAGAGCTGGGGTGTATTCCAGAAAGCACGGTTAACTTACCGTCAGCTAAACCCTGAACTTTTGGTTGATTAACCCCAAACCTTGTTTACTCGAGGTATGTGGTTCCAAAAACGCGCCTGGGAGTAAGTTCATTCAACTCGGAGTATGTTCCTGGTTAAGACTCAAGACATTCTCAACAGAGCGACGAATCGACGAGTCACTATGGAAACGGACGCTAAGAAAAGCGCGCCATGCTGTTTCTTTCTTCTTTTTTTTCAATGGTCGTTTACATGCTTAGTGCATATCGCCACCTAATTGATGGTTGTGCAATCATTTTTCTTTTTTATCCGTTTAATCTTTAATCCTTGAGAATATGAATTATATTGTTTGATGCTAATTATATATTAAGTCATATCAGATAAAATCATGTTTTTTCATTGTGCATTCCAGTTAATCTCAATCAAACTGCAGTTGTGTTATTTTGACTAGGTTAAAAAATAAAAAAAAAACAAACGGCTAACTAACACAATAAAACATAATAAAAAACATGATTTTTGACTATTTAAAAAAAAAAATGGAGTTATCTGTTTTTGCAAATAAAATCTTCATATAATATAATAAATTAAACATTACCTTGTCATAAGTGTTTTATAATTTATACAGATAACGTATATAGTAGGCTATATTACATAACTATATTGTAATATTATATAATGTTGTGTGCTATCTGTCACTCCCACTGAAGGCTTGTCAGTAGGTCACGCGTGTGCTGATGGCTCTGAAGTGAACAAACCCTGGAACATAACCTGCAGGTTATCTTCAGAGAGCAAGTTACTATGGTTACTTTTCTCATTCACTGTCTGTTTAGGCTTGTTAAGTGCAAATCTACGGAGCCTCTGTACAAATCAGCATGGTACACATTATGTTATCATTACTAACTTGTTTAATATTCAGTCCACATGCATGAAGTGTAAAACGAGAAGGGCATAACCTTACGAAAAAATAAAACGCGGAAAAATCGCGGTTGCTGCGGTTCTTGCATTCGTCAATAGCGCGGTATTGAGATATTGCGGTTATCGCGACAGCCCTTGTTATCCGCTCTCTTATCCTCAAACATACCCGGGTATGTCACATAACCTGCTTTCTGGAATACCCCCCTGCTCTGAGAGAAAACGTAAATAAACATTTCCTAGTTTTATTTGAGAAAAACCATTGTCAAATACACTCTGAAACTCAAAGGTCCGCTACAACCCGTCAAAATAAAAGTTCGATTTAATTTGAAATTATGACAGAAATATTAGCATTGTACAATGTACTTCAAAGTTATAATAACAAGAATAATAATATTCTTTATAATAAAAGTTTGTTGTAATAAAGGATTTGTTCACTCAAATAACTTGTTCTTTTTCTTTTAAGAGTCATTGTTACTGATCAGAATTATTGTTTAATATATACCGTGAAACCGTGATATTTTCTGAGACGATTATCATACCGTGAAAATATCATACCGTTACAACCCTAGTACACACTCAATTGTGTTTTATATATACTTTTATTATATTACAATTATAAATATTTATTTATTTAAACATGCATTGTTTTATTATTTTATACTATATAATATATTTGCAATTTAGTTGTTTATTTATTTGAGTAGTATGTCAAAAGCAGACATAAAACCATTAAAAATGGCATATGTGCATATATTTGTTTATCGGAAAGCTAAATAATAATTGGTATGGATCAAACATAATAACATCCATTGTTCTCTAAACTTTAACTGCTTTCACCAACTTCACCAAACAATGTTCATATTTCCAGGTCTTGTTTGTTGATCATTTGTGTCTTTATGTTCTTCTATCTTCAGTCTGTCTTCGCATCCAGATCAATCCTCAGAATAAAAGAGATTTCCAGACCGTCTCTCCTGAGAGAGCCTTCGCTGATTTCCTCTTCGCTCACACCATTCTGCATCTAGTGGTCGTCAATTTTGTTGGCTGAAGGAGAGCATCTGCTCTGTGCCTCTTACAGCAGGTGGATGTGTGTCAGTAACACCTAATCAATGATTTAACTTCACTTTCATGTGTCTGATGTTCATGTTCACACATAGCATGATACATACCAATTATGTTACAACTTCTCACACTTGACAATCGCCAGAATAGTTTACTGGTATTTTTTGAAAAAGTCCTGTTCACACATGATCTTTTAACTGTAATTTGCTGGTGATTTACCATTAAAGACTGTGTGTCAAAGGGGCTCATGTCTCATAGTTCAGGCAACAAACAAAGAAAAGGAAGCCCCAAAATAGCAGAAATGTATCCTGCCCGGATCCTTTAAAAAAAAAAAAAATTCTAAACTGCTTGCTCAGTATAAACTAATTTCTCTAACTGACAGATAATAAACCCTCAGCTGCCTAATATAGAAAAGTGAATAGATAGAGCAGTACATACTTCCTCCTTTGTGTCATGTATTAATTTTTGTACAATGAAATACGCAGCTGCACAGAATTGCCTGAGGTTAACATTCATTGCTTTATATTTTGTTTCGTGTTCCTTCAAGATAAGCTTTAAGTTGCCATTCATTTAGAGATATGCACATCTGATGTAAAGTCATTATCATCATCAAATTGCCAATAAACTGTTTAAATCCCTGCAAAAGACACATATTTGCATAATTAGAGCTGGACTTATGCATATCGCCAATGCCGATATATCAGCCATCATTTGGCATTTTTAAATTATCAGCATTGGCCAGTTCATTTTTCTGTTTGGCCGATAAGTGTCGGAGACACTTTTATTTTCCCCTCTCTGGACGTAATGGGTGCAGCTAGACACTCCAAACACACCTAACCCTACCCATACCCTATCGCTAAACATAACTCCACCCATTACATCCACTGAGGTGGAGCTGGATGTCATTTGGCTCTGCAGTGAGCACTACTTGTGACCAGCTCTGATGAATCCTGTTTGTTTTTCACAGATATGAAGACCAAACGCTGCAGCTCAACTACAGAACAGCTACAAACAAACAACTGTCTGCAGATCTCTCAATGTTAATATATGTTTTGACAGAATGGTCATTTATGATAAGTTCTTGTCTCGTTCCTTCATTTTTCTACTTTTGTAAAATTCTCTGGAAGTTGTTGAAACAAATTAAATGCCTTTAAAAATTCAGTGATCCTGTAGTGTTTTATTCTATGTAACAAATCTAGGTAATCACATCTGAAGTAAATCTTTGTGTTTGAGATATATTTAAAAAAATATAATTTGTAATAAAAGTAACATTGAAAAATAATAACCATTTTATTTTATTGTATGAGTGTAAATGAAACCAGAAGCAGAGTTTTGTATAACTATAGTCCACAGTCTCTATATATTAAAGGGGTCATATGATGCTATTTTAAAGATCATTATTTTGTGTATTTGGTGTAACAGAATATGTTGACATGCTTTAATGTTCAAAAAACACATTATTTTTCAAATACTGTACATTATTGTAGTTCCTCTATGCCCCGCCTCTCTCAAACACGTCGTTTTCAACAAAGCCCCCTCCTTCCGACAAGCGCAGTCTGCTCTGATTGGCCAACTGACCCAGTGCATTGTGATTGGCCGAAAACCGCAAGCACTCGTCGGAAATGTAAATCGTGACGTAGGTATGTGGGGGCGTGTTAGAAACGAGCCGTTTTAGGTAGGTGTGGCTGACTCTTAACTTTTATAAAGAATATCTCTTTGGATTTGAGACTTTAGTCTTTGCAACTTTATAGATCTTCTTTATGCACCAAGAGCTTGTAACACTCCATAGAGAAAGGAAAACTTGAAATCGCATCATATGACCCCTTTAATTTAGCACTGAACACAATTGCAGTATGGTGCTGCACAAATGGTTAAAAAAAACAAAAACTCCCACATCTGGACATAGTTTAGGCAGAAGGGAGTGGGAGTGAATACAGAAATATTCCTTCTCACAACAGCTGACTTTAGGAAAGAGGGCCTTATCACACTCAACCTCAGTGATGACTCTTCTGCTTCTTCTAATCATTCTTGTTCTTGGTGATCTGCCAGGTGAGCTTTACTCATTCCTTTTGCAAAAACTGATGCTGAAAAACAACTTGAAGACATTTTCCAAAGCTGTGTTTATGGGAGTTTAGAAAGACATTCTGCAAATAAAATTGGTCGTGCGTTAAAACTTCCTCTGTTCTGAACATTTCATTTGAACAGTTCATTTAAAGCCAGAATGGAAGTGTGTCTAACAGCAGCTAGATGAGTTTTCATATGAAGGAAAACACCGTGACCCAAGCTCAAAGTATTTGAGTGCTGTCTATTAGCTCAGTTTTTCCAAACGTATAATGTTTTTAAGCAAGTTTTTCATTTTCAAGAGAATTTTTATTTTTGTTATTTGCCTTTTTCTGCTTGACTGTTGTTTATATGGAAGATTGATGGACAACTGATGTATTTCATTAGTTAAATGAAAAACTGAAAGCAAATAAATTGGCAGTGAAAAGCAGGCCTGTTGGCCACAGTAATGCAATCGGCCATTTCATGCACAAACACACATTGTTTAATTTTCAATAATTTAAAGTTGCTTAAAGCAAAACATCTCTGAGTTTTAGCTTTTAAAGACAGTTTATTCTACTCCGCAGTACAATGAGGAACACGCATTATTATTTGATTAGACTTTGTTTTATTAATTAGATTTTTTTTTTTTTTTTGCTCTTATGAGTATAAATGAAACCAGAAGCATTTTGCCATTATGATTAATGTTATAATAAACAAATGTGTTTTTTTTTCTTCAGGCACAAGTTTGTAATCTTCCAATGCCAAACATTATACACAAAATTACATAACCTACTAAATAATAAAAATAATATAATATGTAATTAAAATATGTAATCATGATTAGAGCCATTCACACACTCTTTATTTGTATTCATAGAGACAGTAGTATTATCACTGAGAGACATTTTGGCTTTTTCTTTTATGATATATTTGTATTTAGGCATATATTTATTTATTTGACCCTCTAACTCTAGCACTTTCTATTCTATTTTAATTCTACTTTATATTTATCTTCTTTTTTTATTAAAAAAAAACACTAGTTTTCTATTTTTTCTTTTCTATCTGCTTGTTTTTCTTTGTGTGTGTGTGTGTGTGTGTGTGTGTATATGTGTGTGTGCATAATATAAATATACATATATATATATATACACACCTTGCTACGTGTACTGCGTTAGGCTAACCGCGACTTGTCATTTGCACTTATATATTGTTGCTCTTTTGTTAGTTTTGACTGCTTTTATTGCTTTTATCGCTTTGGATAAAAGCGTCTGCTAAATGTAAATGTAAATATATTTGAATGCTGCAGATCTGATTACATACAGTAGTCAACATTTGAAGTGGATCAAAACCTTTCATCAAAGTTGTTCTAAAACCTAAAATCAAAATGCGTTCTTGTCTTTGGACAACTATGATTAACTTTTTTGAACCACTTCAAATGTTGACTACTGTAGAACTCACTGTTGCACTTTATTGCTATATAGCCTATAGGCTAATACTATTGTTATTCATTAAATCTAGACTAGAGTATGTATTGAACTGTTCAGGATCTGCCCATTATCTTGTTGTGTCCGTCTTTTTAGGTTCTCTCTGCACAGTGAGCACTGTAGGAGATATGTCTGTCCTGGAGGGTCAGTCCGTCACTGTCCCGTGTCACTATAACCCGCAGTACACCAGTCACGTGAAGTACTGGTGTCAAGGCCGGATGAAGGAGTTCTGCACGAGTCTCGCGCGCACCGATGAGCCCGAATCAGCCCCTAACGGGAAGGGAAGGGTGACGATCGCGGACGACCCCACTCAGCACGTGTTCGCCGTGAGCATGCGCGAGCTGACGGAGGAGGACTCGTCTGGTACTGGTGCGGGGTGGAGCTCGGAGGAATGTGGGTGTCTGACAGCACTGCCTATATATCAGCGTCATTCAAGGTAAGGGGAAACAACACGGGAGAAATTGAATTATAAATGAAATATATTTATTTGTTGAAACATTATAAACCGGAAAATATATAAACCCACACATTACTTTAACTTGCATCATTACAAAAATAATTTATTATTAGCAAAGGAAACCTTAATAAAAATATCATTGCTATTAGAGATGCACTAATATATAAATCTTTGTCTAATGCCGATAATTATTTTAATGCTATGGCTATGTGAATTCAACAAAACTTGAAAATGTTCAGGTCATATTTCATATTCATTTTCAAAAGAAAATTAAGTCTCGTTTAAGAATATTAAGAGCTTTGCATTATTATTATTATTATTATTAATTTCATGACAATTAAGCACATTTCCCCCATAGTTATTTGCATTACTGTAATGCAGAACAATCTGATTCCTACAACTGTAATGTATAAACAAATAAGTAAAGATATATTTATAAGTACTTAAACGTTTACTTTTTTTTACGTTAAAATAATGTATACATTATGCTGACAATGTACTTCCTTTAATTTATGCTTACATAAAAAATGTAATTTTTAGAATTTGGTGGAGTAGGGTAATTTTCTATAATATTTTCTATTGTTGTTTTTATAAATGTATAAATTAAATAAATATACATTTTGTTATGAGTGTTTTTATATATTTATAATTGCTTATTTTTATTTAATTGTAACTAATAATAATAATATTAATAATAAAATATTTCTAAATATTTTATATATCTTGCAAGTATTTCTTGTGCTTCCTTTAATTTATGCTGACTTAAAATAATGTAAAAACTGAGGATTTAGTGGGGGGAAATTATGTATAAAATATTATTTTGTATTATTGTTGTTGTTGTTGTTTTCATGACAATTAAGCAAATTTCCCCCAATATTAAAATATATGTAATATATATAATGAAATATAATATATATTTCCTTTTGGAATGTGGCCATATCTGCTTACAGTACCTATTAATAATGTTAGTTAATATTGGCATTGATTTGTGAAGGTGTGTGTTAGTCAGTGGTTGTTGTGCTGCAGGAATGTCAGTGGTGAGCAGTTTGCTGAGTGCAGATGAAGGCAGCAGCGTCTCTGTTCAATGTCTCTACAGTAAAAACCTCAGGTAACCTACTGTACATTTTCAACAGACCCATGATCTAAGAGATGCAAGATGTATGAATATCACAACCTGCAATGTATTTAATATATAAAGTGTTTATATTACATATGTCATTTTTTTTTTTTACATTTTTAAATTCCTTCTATCGCATCATCATCATTCTCCCTGCAGGTCCAGTGAGAGGCGGTGGTGTCGCCGTGGGAACTGGAACTCCTGCATGCTGACGGACTCTGAAGGAACATTCAGCAGCAGAAACGTGTTCATCCATGATGACAGGAACAGCATGTTGACGGTGATGTAGTAGAAAAATTCATTTCTATTGACTTTTGTATGATCTTATGTGCTTATGAAACATTATATTGTGCATGTGTTTTCTTAGAACTGCTGTGTAGTCAAAGTGAGAAAAATAAATTGAGATCACGTGCAACACAGTTAACACATTTCTAAGGGGAAAATTGAAACTGTGTGTGTAATTAATCGGAGTTATAGCCTCCGCCTGGCTGGCTTTGCTTTGGGAGAAAGGTCGGATCTGTTGGAGACGTCCAGCAGATTATTTCGGCGCCGAAAATAAATCCACAGAGAAAGAAACAGCCAATATGGGGAAGTCCCAGAGTAAATATGATAAATATGCTAAATATGATACACCAGTTTTTTGTCAAATGAAAAAATTATATGGCCAAAAATGCATGCAAGATATGGGGAAATTAATTAAGCATCATGACTTTCCAAAAGAGGGAACACTGAGTGTCAAAAGACTGAATGTTGTAAAGGAATCAGTGGAAGAGGGAAGCAAAAAACAGAAAAGGTATATGAATGGATATGGATATGAAACATATGTGTGAAAAATGTGAGCAGACGGTGAATTGCTGGATAGAGAAAAATGTGAAGAAGTAATTGTATCACATAGACCTACTAACCGCTCTGATGTTTCTGTCTCGAAACACCCACCACCACCCTATCATCACTACCCCGTGGCAGAGCTGCAAGCCGTGAAACTGGACCCTGACCTCGACTGCTCTCCACTGAAAAGACCAACAGCACCGCGAGCAGCAGCAGAATGGAGACAAGAAATAGAAGAAGACCCCGAAATAATTCCTGAAACCCCCAACGAAGAAGTTGAAGAAGAAATAGCACGCAGAGCACCCCCACCAAAGAAAAGAAAAACAAGACAAACAGTAAAAGAAGAAAATGTGAGTATAACAGCTCTGATGATCGAGGTATCTGGGCCTGACGGCCCTATTATGGTCTTTAGACCCTGGACTGTAAATGATA